GCCGCCTTGCCAGCTCCGAACCTGGACCACATCCTAGCTTTGCGGCCACGCTGCCTGAAACACAAGCACCTAAGCCGGCCTGGTGCCAGCCCATCCCAGCGCCTGCTACCAGCCCATCCAAGCATGCCCTAGAAGCCTGCTGGTCCGACTGCTGCTGCTGTGGCACGTTACGTCGTCACCGCTTTCAATCGCTACCACGAGCAAAACATCTTCGCCGCAAGTCGAAAGCTCCATCACCACGCGTGACAAATTCAACTGCTTCCACGAATGTTTTTCGCTCCTTCCTCTGCATCAACAATCCACCAACCTCTGGACAACCTAAAGCTTCTAATTCCACCACTTGTTAGAATAAATCCGAGGCATACCATTGATCATCCGAGAACCAAGCAATCACACGAAGCAGGACACCGAGATTTGTTAACGAGGTTCACCGATATGGCTACATTCCCGGGGCCTGACTACGGGTGCTCCTCCCCGTGACACCGTCACAATACCGCACACCGGCCACCCGGGCGCCGGCACGCGCCGCCGCTCCCCCTTCCGCGCCTGTGCTATTATGTTGGCATATGTTACATCGTGTGTCTACCCCCGCTATATATGAGAGACCTAGGATACAAGTGTCCTACTTGGACACGACTACATATCCTATGTAAACACAATACAACTACAAGTCCAACTGTAACCTACCTTGTATACTTCCCGCAAAAATAAAAAACCCTACCTTGTACACAATATTCGACACAACTCTAGCATTGTATATGTAACTATGAACCGTAATACATAAATAACCGGGGTGAAATTATATTCACGTTGCAATTTGCTTGCCACTCTAAATGGACGGAAACCATAGTAGCCCTTTCTGACCCACCAAACTTGCTAGCCATAGTAAACGGGTTTAAGGAGATAGATGCTGCAAAAATAGTACCTTCATGCAGGATTTTGATGATTCAATCGCTCCACCAGAAATGGGAAAAATGAAGGAAGATGAACTGTAAATGCTAGCAGAAACAAACGAACAAACACTTGTAGCTCGACCGCGACAAGAGTAACCACACACATACAAACAAAAGCAAGTCTGATGGGGGCAACATAACAAGATACTGTCAATGATATCTGTGCATGAACTTATTCAGTTGGTAATAAGCGGGTCTTCATGTGCATTACATCGTATAATTTGCATCATCGCAAGCAAGATAACTCTTATGATTTGCTTCATGTATGATTAAGGTAGTCAGTGAAGGGATACGGAATTATTATATCATCCAGAAACCATTGCATCAGTTGAGGGCCAATAATCTTACATGGTACTAGATGACATCGAAAGCACATGTAGTATGCAACAGCGATTCAAATTCTAGTTCCACTGCAATACAAAGATGTACTTAATACAAGCCTGTTTATTTCATCATGAAACCAATACGGCAACCTGCACCGGAACATCATAGTTTACGAGTCTGGAACAAAACATTTAGCTGCTCCAAACAAAGCAATACAATTCAGAATGAATGAGAGCAAGCAAAGCAGCCAAGCAGTGCATCGTAATTAATGGTTCATCGAGGGCGAAACACATGGGGAAGGCGCCCTCAAACATAATGGTTCTTGAGTTGGCGGAAGCATGAAGAGAATCCAAACATAAGCAGACAGAAGGAGGAGGTTCATTCGGATGCAGAGGGAAGACAGATCAAATAGCAGAGCACACACGGGAGGAGTTGTTGGAGTGTCGACGAAATGACATCTGCTAGCTCCTACTATGCTACCTGCAATGCCATTTGGAAGAAACACACATATAAATGCTTCAGTTCAATGTTACAGAAAAGAAGAAAGCAGAGTTCATCCAAGTACAGAGAAAAAGGCACACATGTATCAGCAATTCAGTATTACTGTTGGGTTGTCTGTCACGTGTAATTTTGTAGCATGCATAAATAAGAACACTTCTGCTAGTACTTTAGCTGCATAACTAGCCACAGCGGAATTCACATCGCAATATTCTTGTCACTTAAAATAAGCAGTAATGCTAGGCTTTAGGGACCTGATTGATGCACGCAGGCTAAAGAAATGATGAAAAAATAGTTCGGCGCTAGTAATTAAATGATGAAAGAATAGTACCTGCATAAAGGATCTGATTAATGAAGCCTTCCTCCACCTGCTGAAAAAGGAAAAAGGAAGAAGGAAAAATGAATACTGAACCTTGTTGACAAAACAAAGGAATCGGAACGAATATACATAGCCCAGCCTTGGGCGAGATGAGAGCGAACCTTTTCTGCAGGCTTCACCGGCTGTCAAGGACGGGATGGTTAGGGTGGTCCTCCGCTGCGGCCATCAGTGCAGCCTCCGCTTCATTCACCTCCGCATCACTAGCTCCCTCCTTGATAACGTCAACCCTGACTCGCTGGAGGGAAGGGAGGTGCCGCATACCCAGATCAATGTTTTCACGGGAGATCCACTTAGCTGGGAAGGAGAACCTAAGATGTTTAAGCCTTGGCGCTGCTCCTTGTGGAAACATAGACGGCACAGCACGAGTACCAAAGAAACGACACACTGTCGCGCATGGGAATAATGCAGCACGAGAGGAAAGCACGGGCATTTCCATCACATCATCTCCTCGGAACAAAGAATTATCCGTCACCAAGAGAACACAAAGAGCAGGCAGCATCCCAAGAAGCTGGATGTCTTCCGATCGCACTTCAAACACAACTATCTCCAGATAGGAGAGGAGAGGAAGCGATGAAGGATTAATCCATGACGGCAATGTCTCGAACCAACTTTCAATTGACCAGAAAACTAATCTACGAAGTTGTGGAGGAGGCACCCAATCTTCGCTCGGGCAATTGATGAGTCCACGCGAGACATATACATCTAGACTATCCAGTTTGTATATATTACTAATGGATTCCTCCAAAGCTTTACCCAGGCTCTCATCGAAATCATCGCACTCAAGACTGAGCACCCTGAGCTTGGTCAGATGGCCCAATTCTTTCACAAAATCAAGGTCCACGTCAGATAATCCCATGTAATCTAGCACTTCTAGGGAAGTCAAGTTACCTATTCCAGATGGCAGCTTCATACCATAATTAACATACAGGCACGTCAGACGTCTTAGCTGAACAACACTAGATGGCAGTACTTGTATATTAGAACCTCTCAAGTCCAAGGTAAGCAAAAACTGCAGCTTCCCTATTTCCACGGGAAGGTCCTTAACATGAGTACCTTTTAGCCCCAAGTACCTCAAATGCAACAGATTCTCCACATACCCAACATCTGAGACATCACTACCTTCTAAATCCAACACGCGCAAAACTTGAAAACTTGAAATATCCAACACTTTCCCAATAGCATCACTTGTGAAAATGGTAAGAGATCTCATATGCTCCATCCTAGTGGTATCCACGTATATCTTGCTATTTTGAATAGACAATCTGCGAACCTTGATCTCTGAGTTATGTATTTTTCTTCTGGTGTCATCTAGTATTGTGACAAAATTTTCTTCACTTGATAATGAGCATATAAGGTCAAGCACCATGTCATGTACACGGCAACCTTCTACATTTCCTTGAACATCAATGCCTATTGCCTGGATCATACTTCTATTTACTAGCTCATTGAAGTAGCTATTACCGAGCTCATATAAGCTAGTTTCTTGTTTATCGCTGTAAACAAGACCTTCGGATATCCATCTCCATATCAGTCTATCTCTCACAATCTTGTGGTCTTCTGGGAAGATGCTAAGATATAATAAACAAGGTTTCAGATATGAGGGTAGATCATAATAGCTGAATAATAATATATTTTTCATCTCCTCCAAACTTTGATCTTCCGTGAGTCCACGGCCAATGGAATTGAGCAAAGTATACCATTGGTCCTTGGTTTTTCTCTGATTATTATTAGCCAGGAGACTTGCTATAGAAATAATAGCTAATGGTATGCCACCACATTTCTTCAAAATGTCTTCGGATACTTGCACCAACTCTTGAGGACACCCTTTCTTGTAAAATACTCTTTTACAGAAAAGCACTCTTGATACATCATCAGAAAGATGTTTCATTTTGTAAATATCATCCCTAGAAGAGCAGCATGCTTCAGAGACACTAACAATGCGGGTTGTTGTGATTACTCGGCTTCCAGGACTCTTCTTGGAGAAAGCACACTTGATTAATTTTCACACATCTTTATCCCATATGTCATCATTTATGACGAGGTACCTTTATTTACAATTTAGAATAGTTAACAACCAATACAATGAAGATATATATAGTAAGATATATTATATTAGTACAAATGTTATTTCAAGGGAAACTAACAAAAAATATTTATAACTTGACCGAATTGCATATTCTGAGACCTAGATTCCACACGCACAAAAACTTATGAGAAATTCTAGTTGTAGAAATGTGAAATTGTTGCGCATGGTTTTTAACAGTCGAGATCGTTCACTTAGGCATTAGAATTTCTAAGTCACCTTAGATATATGCACTCCCTAATTGTTGAAAGATAGGTTATGTACTAACTACCTCATTTACACCAAAAGGATAAAACAGTAAATAAGTAATACGATATCAAGATGCATATAAAAAATACACCTTGGGACACGGGTGCACATGCACCCGAATTGCAAAAATATTATAAAATAGTAAAAATGGTAAAATCTTTTTCAAACCTTTTCAAAGCAACCATTGTCTAATGTATTATTCATGTGTAATATTTCGTGAGAACGCGACTTGTGTGGTATTCTGGATGAATAAATGCAAAACCGATACTATATTAAGCTTACTATTCACATAATTTGTACTTGCAATTTTGTCTTTTTGCTGACAATACCACATAAGTCATCTTGTCCCGAAACTTTACAAGTGAGTAATACAATAGACAATGTTTGTTCCAAAAATGTTTCATATTTTTTTACTATTTTTTTTTACAAAAGTTGCCTATGTGCGCCTAGACCCAACTTCGAAAAATCCACACCTGATGTGTATGCAATAGTCTAAAATACTATCATTGTTTATCTAGACAAAAGGATAATCTGCTTTGTAAACGAAAAAAAACATGTACCTCTTTCCATTAAGGAATTCGATGATTTCATCAATCAAATGATTTTCTTCCCATTCTTCACCACGAATGCGTGCATACTTGTTCTTGTCAAGTTCATAGAGAATATTCTTGAAGACTTTCTTCTTGTCGGGATTCTGAGAAACCGAAATAAAAGCATCACAATCGAATTGCCCTTTGATCTTGTCATATGCTGATTTGGCAAGAGTTGTCTTGCCCAACCCACCAAATCCAACAATAGAGACCGTCTTCAATGGATGATTCAACCATTCATCACCTTCAGTCAACATGTTGATCAACTCGTCTCGTGTTTCTTCAATGCCTGCGAGTTCTGACACATCTGTGTATAGGGCCATCATGCGAGGGTCAACACTAGTACTAGTGGTTGGATATCGCATCCCTTGCTCATACCTTTGGCGTAGCTCGGCTAATTGCTTAGCTTGGAGAACCACTTCTTCCAGAGCATCAGAGATCCGATGGAGATCCTTGCCATTCTTGAATAATCTTTTGACCTTCTTGAGTATCTTCTTGACTCTGTTCTTCGGGTTGGTAGGCTCACCACCATCCTCCACACGCACCATGAAAGCATCAACAATGTCCTCCATTTGATAGGACAACTCCTTGACCTTTCCTGCCCAGATCTTCACCCCCTTGTCAAGCTGGTCCGCCGGCACTTCCGCCACCTTGCAGAGGGCATCATGCATCAATGTGAGCTCTGTCATGATAGACTCGATGCTTTTCCTCACTCGTTTCTCCATGGTGAGCTCGCCGATGAGCAGCTCACCGAGCTTCGGGAGGAGAGGGCCAATGGCCCCCATGGCAATCTCCATGTCCTAACCTCTCTCGTAGTGTTTTTGGTGTAAGAGAGCTGGAAGCGTTACAATGTTTCTCCTAAGGCACTCTGGGCAATTATCGTGTCCTGGTAGAGGAGAAACTAGCCAGGTATAGAAAACAGCGTTGGGGAGTGCATAATTCTTACAAATTTCATGACGATCTGGGATTGGGTACGACGATCATTGTTAATGAGAACGTAACTTCCCTGGATTGGTGACTTGAGCGGCAACTAGCGGAAACTCTGGAAATCGTTGCATCATTTTTGGGCCAATAACTCCGATGTCTTGTATAAATCAATCTCCATACGCTAGCCTTCTGAACGCGTTATCGGGCTTACTACTAGAAAAAATTAGAGTAAGCCTGCTTGCTCCGTGAGACCATGTGTGCAACAGCAAACTAATACTTATCTTTTTTTTCAAGAAACTTTCAATCTATTTACCTTCAATCATATCAGTACAATGAACACCAGAAAGAAGAAAAGTTACATCTAAATTTGTAGACCATGACTAAGCTTTAAGATAAGCGTACAGACCGGCCCTTTGGTGCTAGCGAATGGTCTGCCCTCAACACTTGCGATGATGCCATCGATGCCTCTGGTTGAGCAGGTGGATTACTTCAGATTGCATTGTCTAGAGAGACGCAAACAACCACGTTGGTTGGATTAATCAACGTTGGCACCACGCACCTCCATGCGTTCATCTCAAGTGTTGCTCTCGCAGGCCTCAGATGGCACCTCGGGCGACGCAGCTCGGACTGCCGTGTCGTCGGGTTTAAATTTACACCAATCTCCCATGCACGCTTTGTCGCGAAGCAGGGAAGAAAAAGAACGAGAGAGATTAAAAGTGAGGCAAAAGAGCATTAGACGGGGCTCAAGCTCGATGCGATCTTGAGATGAGCGACAAATGCCCTTGGATGCCGCTTCGACTGCGGTGACCGGTTAAATTGCATCACTACACCGGTCTCCATGCGCGCACTTTACTCGCATGCTGAGAAATGTGAGGGGAGATTCGTCTTGCTCCCTGAGAGCATGTGTACGTGTGAGCAACTCTAGTTAATTACTCCACCCATGCAATGTTTAATCACCCACCCGCCCGTTTCTTTGGCACTTGTGAAATCGTATGTGCCTCGGGTGGTGCGATCTATAGATGCATCTAACATCTACTGTATCTAAATAGCTAGCCCCCACTACCAATAATTCTCTGCCTTTTCCTTAAGCCACATCATCAAAATTAATTTGGCCATTGGATATACTAGCTGAGTCTATAATAGCCATTCGATATTACATGTTGAGAGCATCCGCATTCAGAAGCATGCAAGCATGCAGTAACCGACGCTTGCATGCAGGAGACTTAAGTGTGTTTGAATTAATATATGTGCAGGTCTGCAGGATTGACTGGGAGCAAGAAACGCATGCAGGGAAGGCAACGATGGCCTGTGCTAGAAATGCAATGATTGACTGGAAGCAAGATACTCTAGCTTAGGACGGAAAGTGCTGTTAAATGAACCATTTCTTTTCCCCGCAAAAGAAATGAACCATTTCTTTTAAGATATAGTAATTGTGCCATTTATTTCTCCCTTTAAGGTACGGGGTCTATGACACTTTGGTGTCTAATTCCTGTACAACAACGGACCCAGTGATGTGTCGTGAAATATGGATGGTTCATGGTTGACGTGCATCATCGTACATGGATAGTGCGAATAAGGTTGTCCAGATGGCAGTGTTCTTTAAGGTATTGAAATGCGGGTTTAGTGCATCTTTTATTTATTTTATACAAATTCCCGCAGCAACGCGCGGGGCATCCTCTAGTTCTTAAAAAGTTGCTCCCCGCTTCTCTCTATTCTCTCATCATGCACATTATCCACGTCAGCTTTTATGCCACGTCATCGTTCAGTTTGCAAAACCAGCCAATCATTTGTTCCCCGTATGGTCATGCGTTGAAAAGAAAAACTGTATTTTCCCTCTACCGCAGCAGCCGCTCATCCAAGAGATTTTCAATCCATCCCGCACGGCCGGCCGCCCCAACAAATCTGCAGCGCCGGGCTACACTCCCCCCTCCGATCTCCTCGCTTGCGCCCACGGTGACTTCGCCTCCACCATGACACCACCGGAGCGCCTCCCATCCGGCGCACTTCCTCCTCTCCTCCCTCAGGTCTTCTCCTCCTCCCTCGCTGTGCCCAGAAATGGTGCCTCCGCGGTGCCACATGCAGAGTGTCGGCTGTCCGCCGCGCTTCCCCCTCTCCCTCATCCGGTCACCTCGTCCTGCTGAGCGCTGCGCCCACGCATCCACCGCGCCCCCCATGCGCGCCGCCACCCCTGTTCGCCTCCTCCGCCACCAGACTAACTCCCGGTCCCAACTTCAAGCCGCTCCTGTCGCTCGCATATCGCCCCGGCTGTCCGCCAAGCTTCCTTCCTTCCCTCCCTCCTCCGGTCACCTCCTCCTGCTGCACGCTGCGCCAATCCCTTCGCTCGCGTATCGACCACAGTTGGGACGCGGGTTGTCCGCCATGGTCACGGTCCACCCAGAATGGACTATCTGTACATTGTTCCTCTGCTCCGCGGCATCGATGGTGAGGAGCCCGATTCAAAGGCGAGGTGAGCACAGCCGCATTTACTTCACTGCTGCTCGCTAGGCTTCTGAAGCTGTACGTCCTCAATTGTTTTGTTTGCTGACACCAAACCACACAGCCCACTTCGTGGACGCCTATGCAGCCCAATGCTCCAAATGGCCCATGCCGTTTATCTTCTCCGTTGCCATGGCTTAAACGCTTCCGCTGCTGGTCACTAGTGATTGATGCTTCACTTCCTCTCCCCACGATCTCTGCACAAGAAACTGATGAATTCCTCTTTAAATTCGGTGCTCCACCTAAACTCACTTTGTACCAATCGTCCTCCATACGGTTGGGTTGTCTGCCATACCGCTCATACCCGTACCAGTGATGAGCAACTCCCTCCCCTGTCCTTCTTGACATTCCCTATGACATGTTGCAAGTTGAATCACAATGTTGGACTTCCTCAGGTACTGAATGAATTGGACGCGAGGGCCCCCATCTTGGTTGTTCTTCCCCAGCTGCATATCCAAAAGCCTTGAATTTATGGCACCTATAGGTGAATCGTGTTGCCATGTATTGCTAAATCTGAATTTTTCTGTTCCTGATTACTATCTGAAGCTAACTGCTATTTTGGAACCGAATTTACGGCACCTGTAGGTGAATCCTGTTGCCATGTATTGCTAATTCTGAATTTTTGTGTTCTTGATTACTATATGAAGTTAACTGCTATTTTAGAATTTTGGTATACTTCATTAATTTTGCCTCATGGCATATAGTCGTTGAATAAAAATCTAGAATTCCTCAGGTCTTGGACGATTTGAACACCTGGGTAGTGATCTTGGTTGTTCTACGCTCTACGTAGCCAGACATCCCATCGTATAGGTACTAGTAGAAAACCCCCCACTAGTCCCGATTGGTAAGGCCCTTTAGTCCCAGTTTTTGAACGTGGACTAAAGGGTCGTTACTAATGCCTCTCCGCTTTAGTCCCGGTTCTTAAACGAACCGGGACTAAAGGCCGCGGCCACGTGGAGCTCCACCTTTAGTCCCGGTTGGTGTTACCAACCGGGACTAAAGGAAATTTTATGATTTTTTTGAATTTTTTTTTGATTTTTTTTATTTTCAAATTTCTGAATTATTTTAACCTCTAATCTCTAATCACCACCCTCATCACTGCTCAATTTATCCTCTAATCTCTAATCACCCCTCATCATTCCAAATCATCTAACTTCCCGAACAGTCACCCATCCTCCCACTCCCTCAGCCTGAGCACGCTTAACTTCCGGGTTCTATTCTCCCTCGTTTCCAAGTCTGCACTTGTTGTTTTCCTCATAATAATAAGATGTCAATCCTATTAATCTTCAGGAATTTTGCTTGAGCATGAAGTGACACATTTCACTGTTTGAGTTTGAAACTATTGTTTTAAAAAACAATAATTATTTAGTAACACTAATATTTCTTGAATAATTAGTTTGACCATTGTTTGACCACAGTTTGACCAGATTTGACCAAAATTCAAAATAACAGAAATAATTATTTAGTAACACTAAAATTCTAGAATAATTAGTTTGACCATTGATTGACCATTGTTTGACCACAGTTTGAAAAAAAAATTCGATTTTTTCCACTCTAGATCTTAAAAGCCCCGTAACTTTTTTCTGTTAGGTTTTTGAGGTTTTTGAGGATTTTGAAAATGTTTAACTTGTGTTATACTCGTGCATAGAATCTACGCATAGACCTAGCTCTGATACCACTGTTGAGGAACGTAGCAGAAATTCAAAATTTTCTACGCATCACCAAGATCAATCTATGGAGAGACTAGCAATGAGAGAGAGAGGGAGTGCATCTTCATACCCTTGAAGATTGCTAAGCAGAAGCGTTACAAGAACGCGGTCGGTGGAGTCGTTCACGAAGCGATTCAGATCGCGGCCGAATCCGATCTAAGCACCGAACAACGGTGCCTCCGCGTTCAACACACGTACAGCTCGGGGACGTCTCCTCCTTCTTGATCCAGCAAGGGGAGAGGAGAAGTTGAGGGAGAATTCCGACAGCACGACGACATGGTGGTGATGGAGCTCGTGGTTCTCCGGCAGGGCTTCGCCAAGCACTACGGAGGAGGAGGAGGTGTTGGAGGAGGGAGAGGGCTGCGCCAGGGAAGAGGTCATGGCTGCCCTCCCACCTCCTCACTATATATAGAGGGAAGGGAAGAGGGGAAGACGCCCTAGGGTTTCCCTAGGGGAGGGGCGGCGGCCACAGGGGAAACCCTAGATGGGTTTGGGCGCCCCCACCCCTAGGAAACTTGCACCCCAAGCCGGGAGGGATGGCTGCCCTAGGGGTGGCGCCCCCACCTCTCCAGGTTACGTGAGATGGGGTGGGAGGGGCACTCAGCCCCTTAGTGGGATGATGTGCCCCCTCCCCTTGGCCCATAAGGCCCCCAACGCTTGTCGGG